GTAACGGGAGGCTGGTGTGTGAAAACAATTGTAAGAGGAATCCGGTGTGACTGACAACAATAGTGAGTAATGGGAGGCTGGTGTGACTGACAACAATAGTGAGTAATGGGAGGCTGGTGTGACTGACAACAATAGTGAGTAATGGGAGGCTGGTGTGACTGACAACAATAGTGAGTAATGAACATTAAAATGGTATAAAATACCGACAGATTTGTTAGGTAAGACACATATGCAACAGTTGGGTAACTGTTGCATATGGTTTTCTTACCTAACAATCTGTCGGATTTTATCCCAAATTTTAATGTTCATTCTGTCAGACACTGCAACACAGGGGTATCTTGGGGTACAACCATCTACTTCGACAACCTCTACTAGTGAGAACGGCTGGGTTTGAGAAGGACCTGCCCTCCCAAATCAACCTACGTCTCACCTCCTGGCACTATATAAGCCCGATTCTGTCACTTCAACTTCATATTGTTTCAGACAACGGAACAATGCTCTTCTCCAGACTGAGGGACTGACCACCTCAAAACTTTAAGGGTGATGGACTGATTACATCGTCTTCAAGTATCTTCTGCTTCTATCAACTTTTCTGTACTCGACTGAAGAAGCCTACTGTGTAGGCGAAACGTTTCAAAATAAAGATACCTAACTGTTGCATATGTGTCTTACCTAACAATAGTGAGTAATGGGAGGCTGGTGTGACTGACAACAATAGTGAGTAATGGGAGGCTGGTGTGACTGACAACAATAGTGAGTAATGGGAGGCTGGTGTGACTGACAACAATAGTGAGTAATGGGAGGCTGGTGTGACTGACAACAATAGTGAGTAATGGAAGGCTGGTGTGATTGACAGTAGTGAGTAATGTGAGGCTTGTGTGACGGATAATGGTAATAACGAGAGAATGCTGCAACTACGACAGTGGTAGTAAAGGGAGCCTGGTGTAATTGACAACGGTAAAAAGTAAGTGGAGCCTGCAGCAATAATAACGGAAGCATCATTGCGAGACGTTATCAGTAATAACGTGATGAATTATGTGTTATATCTGACCGCTGCTGGTACTTAACAACAGAGTTGAACCACCCACTTGATAACACCTGTGGTTGGAAGCTTCGGAATTTGATGAGCACAATGACAGTGTAGATAATCCAGTTTTTTTTTCCAATCAAATACAAATACACCTGAGATAAGAAAACAAATAAAAAACTACTAGCATGAATTAAACACACAATACTAACATATCCAGTTAAAATAACATCCATCGTTTATATGCCCTATTAAATTATTCTCAATATGGTCTAAAATAATCCAGTGTCCCTGCAGGCACACAAGTAATTATAAACACCCTGATAAAAACAGAATGCCTAAAGCATGAACAAACTTTTAGCATATATTCCAGAGTCAGCTGCATGCATCAACTGCAGAGAGGAGAGCAGGAGCACCATCAAACAGGTGACCACGTGTGAGATAGATGTGCCCAATCCTCAATCGATATAGACAATCTCAGAGTCACAGATGCCCTTTTGAAAAAAGACGAAATGCATCTTACCGAACCCGTCTGTGAGGCCCACTGGACCCATCACTTCCCAAGGAAGTAGCTATGTATAGACAATTTAATTACTAAGGCAGAAATCTGCTGTAACCTAGCTCGTTACAGTTGCCTTTTCCACGGCATTTTCCCGTTCATTTCCCAGGACACCAACATGGCCAGGGCACCAACATGACCCGAGCACCAACAGAACCTCCACATCTTGTGCATCGAATGGAGATGAGGTAACCACTTCTGGATCTTTTAGACCATAGGACTGACTCATTGTGAATCCGAGGACACAGTTTGGGCCAGTAGGCCTTCTGCAATTTTCTTTTTTTAAGTTAGTATTAACTTTGTTATAATTAGTACGTTTTCCAGCAATGTATGTTCATTCTGTAATAAGGAGACCAGAACTGAACCATATAATATAGCAAGGCCTTATCAACGATACAACTTTAGTAAAACCTTTCTGGTATGAAGCCAAAAAGGCTCTTAACCTTATTGAGTATATTATTCATTACACAAATAACCCGCACATAGGAGGAGCTTACAACGAAGTTTCGGTCCGACTTGGACCAGTCACGGTATAAGAACATAAGAACATGTCTTTGTTCTTTATGGTCCCAGCAGGTAAACGTCTTATTCCTTCCAACTTTTGTAATGTTCTTCATTCTTTTAAATCTTTCTTTCGTTCTTATCCACTACTACTACCACCACTACTTCTCTACTTCCTTTCCTATTACCTCTCTTGTCCCGTCCCTGTCTGCTGGCCTATATATGCCTCCTCTCCTTTCTGTTATTGTGACTTTATAAATGGTCCAAGTCGGACCGAAACGTCGTCGTAAGCTCATCTCTCCTATGTGCGGGGTTATTTGAATATTGTTCCAGTCATGGTACTGTGCCTTTTTGTTCTTCAGTATTCATTATATTGGAAGTTAGTTAGTAGACAGCAACCATCTAGGGAGGTACTACAGTCTTGTCGAATGTTAATGTGAAACCTGTTAAAACGTTTGCAACCTTTTAGACTGGTGTTTTCTTCACGTAAGAGAGCAGGGAAAATTTGCCAACTCCTATTAACAGTCAGTATACATTTATTTTCTGTTTATTAATAGATATTATTCCTATATTTAATTTGAAATCTAGAAGGCCCACTCTGAGACCGAGCCACGGGGGCACTGAACCCCAGAATCATTCGTTTTAGATTTTTGCTAACCAGAACTGACAAAATGTTCCATTCGGTTTGGTTAAGTTCAGCAGCATTTACTTTAGAATTACCGTGGCTTTTTTCTTTTCCCGGGATTAGGGCCTTAACAGTTTTCCACATCTAACTTCATCTGTTATTTGAACATTGATACGGGCCTCGAAATGTTGGGACGCTCACCATGTGATGCAGCAAGAAACTAAGGAACTGTAGAGAACGTCAGCACGCGTTGCCATTTCTTGAGGTTCACACGAAACCAATTATTTTTGTATTATCTCTAATCCGTGTGTCAATGTTTTATTATATTCTGCGCACTAGCTTGGTGCACTGTGTATTCTAAACTACAGACCAGTGTCACTAACTTGTATAGTATGTAAAGTTATGGAGAAGGTTATCAGGAGAACAGTGGTGGAGCACTTAGAAAAGTGGGCTCATACATGACAACCTGCACGGGTTCAGGGATGGAAAATCCTGTGACAAACCTACTGGTGTTCTACGACAAGGTATCAGAAGTAAGACAGGAGAGGAAGAGATTGGTAGATTGCATTTTCTTGGACTGTAAAAAACGCTTTTGACACAGTACCGCACAAGAGACTGGAACGAAAAGCAAGCAAGAATAACGGGAAAAGCCCTACAATGGACCAGGGAATACCTGACAGGAAGGAAACAACGGGTGATGGTCCGTGACGAGATATCAGAGTGGGTGCATGTGACGAGTGGGATTCCACAAGGATTAGTACTAGGGCCGGTGCTGTTTCTGGTATATGTGAATGATATGGCAGAAATGACAGACCCCTGGCAGTCTTCAAGCTGGCACTGGACAAGCACCTAAAGTCGGTTCCTGACCAGCCGGGCTGTGGCTCGTACGTTGGTTTGCGTGCAGCCAGTAGCAACAGCCTGGTTGATCAGGCTCTGATCCACCAGGAGGCCTGGTCACAAACCGGGCCGCGGGGGCGTTGACCCCCGGAACTCTCTCCAGGTAAACTCCAGGGATAGAGTCAGAGGTGTCCCTGTTTGCAGACGATGTGAAACTCATGAGGAGAATAGAAGCTGGCGAGGACCAGGAAAGGCTACGAAGGAATTTGGATAGGCTACAGGCCTGGTCTGATAAATGGCTCCTGGAGTTTAATCCCACCAAGTGCAAAATTATGACGCTTGGGGAAGTGCAAAGAAGACCGCAGACGGAGTACAGGATACAAACCTCACTCAAGGAGAATGACCTTGGGGGTATCATGCCGAGGATATCTTCTGAGGCGTACATCAACCAAATAACTGCTGCGGCAACTGTGCGTCTGGCAAATCTAGAACTACATTTCGACATCTAAATAAGGAGTCACTCATGACATTGTACACCGTGTACGTCAGCCCATACTGGAGTATGCAGCACCACTATGGAACCTACATATCTGGTCAAGTACATCAAGAAATTGGACAAAGTGCAAAGGTTTGCAACAAGACTAGTCCCCGAGATAAGGGGTATGTATATGAGGAGAGGTTAAGGGAACTCAATCTGGTGATACTACTGGAAGATAGGACTAGGGTGCGGGGGTTGTTATGATAGTGACGTACGAAATCCCGAAAGGAATCGACAAGGAGAATAAGGGCAGAATGTTTCAGAGATGGGATATAGGAAGAAGAGGGCACAACTGATAAGTGAAAATTCAGTCATAGGGATGTTAGGAAGTATTTCTTCAGCCTTAGAGTTGACAGAAGTGAAACAAACTGGAGAGCGAATTGGTAGAGGCGGTATCCATACATAGCTTCAAGAGGCCCTTGAAGCCGGGAGTGGACCTAGTAGCTACCAGCGAAGAGGTGGGACCAGTAGCTGTGAAGCGACCCCTGCAACCACACATAGGCGAGTCGTGAACACTACATTATGGCAGTGTACACTGTACATTACAATGGCGCACATTCAATGTGAACAAGGTAACATTTATGAAAGAATTCAAACAAACATGTTAAGCGAAACCATACCGAGTGAAATTATTTTTAAGCTGATGGTGAGCTGTAACAATGCTGCCTTGACCACCAAGAGCTACCGATGTGGAAGCTGCTGCAGGGTATCCCTCACCCCTTTACATGGTACCGACACCACCCACGTATTTCATTCACCGTCAGAACCGACACTAATAATTATAAACTAGCAGAGCTGCTTCGAATGCTAAATCGCCACAGAGTACCAGAGGGGTTTATTGAGATTTAAGAACTACCACAGGGCCCTTTGTAATTACGTTTCAGTGTTCTTTTTCACCCACTTAAATACTAACCTTGAGTTGTGACAACGTATTGAAAGCATCGCGGGGAAAGTACTCGAGGTGGTTGTTGAGGAGTGAGAGGGAGGTGAGTGTGTCATTGATGCCCAGGAAGTCATGGGGATGCAGCGTTGACAGCTGGTTCTTCTCCAGGTTGAGGGCAGCCAGGGAGTCCAGTTCCTGCAGGGCACCTGAAGGAGGAACAAGCACTTTGTTGCTGCTGTTGCTCTACTCTCATGGTTACAACATGTCACAAGAAAATTTACGTAAAATATGTATTATTGGTTGTGTACATTCGCAGTATAAACATTCTATGTTCACTGTGAACACGGTATAATTATACACCATGCACATATGGTCATCATGAAGTTCTAAACCAGTGGGGGTCATGCAGTGTCCGATGAATGGGACACAGTCAGGTTATATGATAGTGTCTGAAGTCTGGTCACACTGGAAGGAATACTTCCCACCTCCAGAACTAGAGTTCGGTTCCCCTCAAAGGAGGGGAATTGGGCCAATGTTCAATTTTCTTGAATCAGACGTGAATGCTTTCCAGGCGCTACATAACCTCTACAGGTTCAGCGCTCCCCCATAATAATAATAAGTCCGGCTAATCTACTGTATTCATAATTCAGCTAGTGATGGTATTCCAGACAATCAGGACATTCACTACTAGGCACCTTAAATCAATACACTTCTGAGCGATACACAGCAAAATAACCACAGCAAATATACAACAGTGGTAAACCTCGTATAATGGGTTCCAACCGTACATTAAAACATATGCGGAGACGTTAAGAAGCCTAATCGGTGAAGACACTCAATGCTCAAAGGCACCAGAGCTCAGAGAAGACACTATCATCAAAGATATTCAGGGATAAAGTGAGCAGGGTGTGACCAAAACAAGGGGCACAACTGGAAATAATACCCGTAAGAGTTGGTGACATGATTAAATACCAGCGTGAGTTGGTGAACAAGTGTAATGTAATAACTATCAAGAGCTTAGGGCATAAAATTAGGAAGGCATCAAATCGAACGATTTGTTGTTGAGGGTTTGGGCCAGGTAGTTAAGGTGGGTAAGCTGGTACACACCAGGGACCTACCTCTCTCTAGACTGCGGATCTGATTGTGGGCGAGGTCGAGAAAAGCGAGCGTGTGGAGGGTAAGTATGGAGCGGGGTAGCACACTCAAGCTAGTTCTCTTCAAGCTGAGATTTTTTAATGTTTTCTCCAGCCCTGACAAGGACTGCTCAGTCAAGGAGAGATCGTTGTCGGCCAGCTGGGCGAAGAAGTACAGCACAAGCATAAGTATCTTGAATGAGATTAAAGATTAAACAATGTTTTTTACTTATCCTTATTATCTGCATACTTACAACCCACTTTGATCAATAACACATATCTAGTGCCTCCAGCTGTATCCTCGCTTCAGCATTCATGAACCACATCTTACACTCTAAAACGCTGACACCATTCCCTTCTCTTTGATATTCATTTTGTCTTACATTATCTTATCTGCTCATATATCTAAGTGCATCACGTTCTCCATGCTACCCCTCTAATCCAGTAACTCATTGCCAAGAATTAATCTTAATATTGTCATTTTTCACTTTTATATATCATTGCAAACTCCTTAACCAGACTCCAACATTTCTTGAAAATCTCCCCAAAACACTGTCATCAGCAAAGAGGAACTGTGACAACTCATTTTGTATAGCAGAAACGATTTACTTACTCCAGCACTTTAAGACTCACCTTTGCCACGCCAGCTTGAAACATTAAACAACATTGACATAAAGCATTCATGGGCAGGGCCTACTTATACTGAAAACATATTCCTCTGCTCTCCTACATACCTAAATCAGAGCCTCTTATAAAAACTTCTACCATGTATTCCACACATATTCATCACCATCTACATCACTTCCCTAACCACCTTATCATATGCCTTTCTCTAAACCACAAACCGAATAGTTCTTGACCATTATCTTTCTCATATGCTTTAATGGAAACACTTCATTCACATAACTTATTACCAAACACTTTACCTGGAGTTTACCTGGAGAGAGTTCCGGGGGTCAACGCCCCCGCGGCCCGGTCTGTGACCAGGCCTCCTGAACTTCGATAGTTCTGTCGAATACTTTGACTAGTTTTTACCCTTGCCTTCTTTTCTCCTTATACCAAGGAATTATGCATTCTCGCCGCTAGTTTTTAAATATCTTACCTTTTTATGCATACACTGAACTAGTGCCTTACCTTTAGTATGGAGAGGCGAAGGCCCCTGAAGGCATTATCTGGGATGAGGGTGAGGCGGTTGGCAGAAAGGTCTAGGAGCTGGAGACGACGTAAGTTTTTAAGAGCCTCAGTGGGTACCTGTTCCAGCCGGTTGTCTTGCAGGCTTAAGTTAGCAAGGGTGTCTTCCAGACCAGAGAACGCTCCTCCACTTATACTACGAATATCACACCAGGACAACTACACGAGCAGGAAGGACTTCACATAAGTTAAATATAAAACAATACAAAAAGTATCATTATTTAAAATTAAACAATCAGCATCAACAATTACGCTATATTCAACATTCTCATTGCAATGATATCATACCAACAACAATGGTAAGCCAGCTGAAGACCTCGGTCAGATGACAAAGTTCCAGTGGCGGATCATCATACGGCTAAGACCCGCGTCAGGAGAGAATTGTCCTGTTTTCTGACGAATCTTACCTAACCTAAACCATCATACTGTCCTGAACACTTGTCGCAAAACAATATTGGTATTTTATTGTAACTGTCTCTCTCTGGTATCAGCTTTTTGAGCGAATTAAGTCTTTATGTAACAGTACAACAAACAAGCGTGGCATGCTTGAGGCAAACAGCATTATTAAGTCATTAAAAACAGTGTCTCTTACGATCTTCCCCCAAGCTTGTCTTCCTTGTTTTCCATGTGTTTAAGTATGTTTTCACACTTACCCATGATTTTTTTTATATTTAAGTATATAAGAGGCCATTGGCCAACGTGAATCTTACTACCATCACCTGTCACCACGAAATCCTTAACTCCAACTCACCTGAAGGTTCTCGATGGTGAGACCGTAGAAAATATTGTCTGTGAGAACACTGATGGTGGTATTTTTAACGTGAAGTAGTTTGAGAGGCAGGGATGAGTCCTGTTGTAACACCATCATGAGCAACGCAAAGTTCACAGCTCTGCACTGAATCGACAGTTCGTTCTGCAAGTTGAAGGCGCACACGCAGGAACTGTCGAGCTTGCTGGTGTCCTCCGGCCACGGACACTGAGAACTAACGAAGATCGTGTTCAGAAGGAAGTAGATGACGCTGTGCAGCAGATCGCTGCCTCCAATTCTCCATCCACCTCTTTTCATCCTGAAGGAAGAGGTTCTGATATGAGGATATTTATTGATGAAAGTTCATTGTAAGCGATGCTCACTGTGCATGATCACCGTTATCACTATCACTTATCAACTGCAGAAATCACCCAAAAGTACGCAAATTACCGACAAATAGGACTCGTATTACCACCTCCTGCCCCGCTGCCACTGAAGTGATATCCACAACATTCACCCATCACCTACTATTCATCTGAAGCCATAGTCAATGGCCAAGGGTCAGAGCAATAAAAGAAGATCCAGTAACCAGCTAAGGACTCCTAACATCATAGGTGAGACCAGTAATATCACGAGGAAAACTTTTCGTACTGCCAGCCAGGGCACGACTCTCATCACCCACAACACACGACAGACAACAACAAACATGGCCGCCACCGCAGTCCAAGATAACTCCTTCCTTGGATTTGATGTTAAGAAGATCACCGACCCAGAACTAGCTAAACTCCTTATGATTCAGAACCAAACTAACTCAGGAAATGCAGGAACTAAAAGCTTCCAGTGCACAGTACCTCAGCAAGATCACTGCTCTAGAACACAAACTAGACACTGGAACAACAAAGCAACACCCACACCCAGTCCCTAGACACCATCAACACTCTAAAAGACCAAGTCACCCTGCTTATTACCAACATTATAGAGGAAAGATCAAGAGTGGACCAACAACTTGCCAATGTCATCACCAACTTCAAAGACCATAATGACCAACAACAGCTATCTGACGCTATTGTAGTTAACAGCAAACATCTCCCACCCACAGTCACCCAAGAGACCTGCATGGAGACCATCCTACAGCTTATCAAGGACCACCTTCGCCTTAACATACGTAGTGATGACCTAAAGGATTGCAAACTGATGGGCTACCAAGCGAGTAAAAAAACAGTGCTGTTAAAATTCCAAACTAGCCTACAAATGAACAACCTACTAAAAACATCAATTTCTATGAAAACTGATGTTTACGTCAATGAGTGCCTTACCAAAACAAGATAAAACCTCCTTTATCGGCAAAGAAAATTGCGCTATGCCCAAAAAATCCACCAGTGCTTTGTGAGGGTCGGAAAAATCGCAGCTAGGAAACAGCCCACTGGGAAGAGATACTTCATCTCTACAGAACATGACCTTAAAACATTCCTAAGTGAGGCTAGGTTAACAGAATCAGAGAAAGGTGCAGATAATACCCACTGTCCACCATTAGTGTTATACTGCCATAAATTTTGTTCCCCCCAAAATTTCCAATACCCCAACTACTTTTGAATGTCACTGTTGTATTCAATGACCATTCCACCTCATAGTCTTAATTGTGTTTAATATCTACAGAATCTCTCTCCTTTTTTACATCTTACCACTTAATTGTTCTAGCTTATTTTAATTGAAACTAACCATAGCATTGTCAACTATTCTACCTTTCTTTAAGAAATACTCTATCGCCCAATTTTATTTTAAAATTTCTATTATTGCCCAATTTTACTTTAAACTATATTGACCAATCCTATTGTAAACTTTTTATAATTGCCCATTTTTATTTTATATTTTAGTGCCCAACTTTATTGTAAACTATTCATCTTATTATTGCACTATTCTAATCTAGAGTTTATTACCCAATCTTATACTTGCCCAATTTTACCTTATACTTTATTGCCCAATCTATTTTAAATTTTTTATTATTGCCCTTTTTTATTTGTAAAGTTTATTACCCAATTTTATTATAAACTTTTTATAATTGCCCTATTCTATTTTAGACTTTATCACCCAACTTTGTTTTACTTTTCTTAACCTTTTGTTACCAAATTTTTAAGCTTGTATATTTAACTCCAACTTTTATATTATCCTGTCTACCGTCTTACTATCATATTTTAACCAGGTCATTGCCATTTTTATTTTTTTATTTTTTATTATTCTATTCCTACCTTAACTTGTGTATTTTATCTTGTCAATTTAAACCTAGTTATACTCTAGTTCTTGTTACAACTTATATTAGACCTTAGTGCAATTACAAATGAGAGTCTTGTGCCATTTTAATTAGTATTTTTTATATTTTCAGATTAAACCTAGTTGTAATTTAGCTCATTCTAGCTCAATACATAGACAAAACCAAATTCACTATATTAGACCTTAGTGCAATTACAAGTGAAAGTCTGGTGCTATTTTTAATTTGTATTTTTATATTATTAGTTCGTACCTAGTACTTTAGCTCATTCTAGCACAACACATAGACAACATCAACTTCATTATGTTTATTAGTGACTATACTCTATATGACCAAAGTGCTTTAGCTATACACTTGTCCAAACTTCCCACTACTACATCAGTACTAGAACTCAACACACAATTCAGGATATAAATAACCACAATTTAAACCTAAAAGATTAATGATCACGTCGACCCTGATCTAAACCTCCATAATCTAACACCCAATCCTATTGGAAAGTAACTGCCTTTATTACACAGCATCACAAGCCAGCACTATCCTAAACAGTGCTAAAAGTTTATCAGTTCTTAGCTACAACATCAGATCCTTAAGCAAACACTATGATGACCTCCTGGCACTCCTTGAGTCGCTAAAGACACCCTTCTGCATTATTCTTACTGAGATCTGGCTTAAACAGGACACAGTAGATATCTACCATCTACCAGGATACACAATCCACAACTGCAGACCATACCAAGTGGGGGTGGTATTGCAATCTATTACTCAACCAACTATCTTGTATTAGCACCACTTGCTTTAGTGATGAATATGGGGATTACATTTTTGCTAATTTTACTGTAAAAAACCTTAAGACGCCTATAACAATCGGTGCCATTTACCGGATACCCCACACAAACATCCCAAATTTCAGTGAAAAATTAAAGGCACTAATAACCAACAGAGAAATGAACAAGCACCACCTTCTCTTAGCTGGAGACTTCAATATCAACCTTGGCCTACCAGATGATCAGCCTGTAATTGATTTCCTCAACAATATGAACAACACACTTCTCATATCAACAATAACTAAACCAACCAGACTCACTGAGACAAGCGCAACCATAATAGACCACATATGGACCAATATACTAGCCCCCCTTAAATGAGGGATAATCACAGACAGCACTACAGACCACTACCCTACCTTCCTCTTAACAAACATTAGTAAACCACCACTGGAATACAACAAAGTTTCATTTAGACTCCATGACGAGGCCTCAATAAGGAATTTCACAGCAGACCTAGAGACTGTTGACTGGCCTACAGAGTTCTCCAAGGCCAATGGTATTGACGATTGGACAGACATTTTTCTTAACAAATTACTTAGACTATACAACAAACATTGTCCTATAAAAACGAAACAGATCAAGAATAAACGGCTCGGTTGCCCATGGCTAACCAGCAGCATTCTGACATCCATTGATAAGAAACACCAATATGAAAAGCAATATAGACAGGGCTTAATACACAAAAATATTCTTAAACACTATTCATCAGTTCTCACCAAAGTAATAAAGAAAGCCAAACAACTGTACTACTCCAGCAGATTCATTGACACAAGAGGAGATATAAAAAAGACCTGGAAAACACTCTCTCAGATTCTGGGGACCCACAAACTGAAAAAAAAAGAATATTGCCCTGACTAAACCTAATGAAACACCACTGCATCGGACTGATACAGCTAACAAGATAAACGACTTCTTCTCAACCTTATTAGGATCTAATCTCGCCAGTAAAATCCCACATACCAACGCCCATGCCGGGGACTACCTAGATGGGAATTTCCCAAATTTCTTCTATCTTGTACCAACGGAGCCCACGGAAGTCACCAAAATTTTAAAGTCACTTAAAAATAGCTCAGGGAATCTATCTCATGTCCCACCATTATTGTACAAGCGAGCGGCCCATGTCCTTTCGCATGCTATGGAAATAAGTCACTCTGACTTTTTTAGGTTATCCTAGGTTCTCTACACATATGCTGCTATGTATGATAATTCTATGTAACTGTATTTGTGTATACCTGAATAAACTTACTTACTTTTTAACAAGTCACTAGAAACTAGCACTTTCTCGACACTACTCAAGACAGCAAGGGTTACATCAATACATAAAGGTGGTGACCCTACAGATGTAAACAACTATAGGCCAATATCAAACTTAATATTGCTATCCAAAATCTTCAAGAAACTCGTGCAAGGGAGACTATATTCATTTATAACGGCACAAAACATACTCAACCCTTGCCAGTTTGGATTCAGGAAAAATAAAAGTACTAATGATGCAATTGTAAAAATGCTAGATCTGCTTTACACAGCATTGGAAAATAAGGAATATCCACTAGGAATTTTTATTGACCTAAGAAAAGCTTTTGACAGTAGACCGCGGCATCCTACTCCACAAACTTGACCATTATGGTACAAGAGGCCATGCGCTTGCATATTTCAAATCCTACCTTACTAATAGGTATCAGTATGTCACCATTAAAGACACAGCATCAACACGGCCACTTGATACTGGAGTTCCGCGGGGAAGTGTCCTTGGTGTCCTGCTCTTCCTCATTTGCATCAATGATCTTCCAAACGTATCCCAACACCTGAAGCCCATTCTCTTTGCTGATGACACGACTTATGTCATCTCTCACCCTAATCTTGCCACCCTCAACACTATTGTTAACGAGGAGCTGCTCAAAATATCGACTTGGGTGACAGCCAATAAACTTACACTTAACACTCACAAAACCTACTATATTATGTTTGGTAGCAGATCAGGTGTTGTGCAACTTAACATTAAGATCGACAACACTAATTACCAGACATAATGAGGGCAAATTCCTAGGCCTATACCTCGACAACCTGAATTTCAGCACCCATATCCAACACAAAAAAAAGTATCCAAAACGGTTGGGGTTCTCTCCAAGATACGATACTACATGCCGCAAAACGCCCTTCTCACACTATACCATTCACTCATTTATCCATACCTCACTTATGTTATTTGTGCTTGGGGATCAACTGCAGCAACACACAAAAAGCCAATAATAACCCAACGAAAAGCCGCAGTAAGAATAATCACTAAATCCCATCCCTGGCAACACCCCCCCCCCAACTCTTCATAGATCTAAACTTACTCCCTGTTCAGAACATCCACACTTACTACTGTGCAATCTACATCTACAGGACCTTAAATTCCAATATTAACCTTGACCTAAACCGCTTTCTTGATAGTTGTAACAGGATCCACAGGCATAACACCAGACACAAACATCTCTATGACATTCCCCGTGTCCGACTAAACCTTTACAAAAATTCAATGTATGTCAAAGGCCCTAAAATCTGGAACACCCTACCTGAAAACTCTAGAACTGCAGACACATTCATCACCTTCAAAACTACCGTTAGAAAACATCTTATCTCCCTGATACACACCGTCAACTAACTACATGAAAACCACCTGGTGGTTCACACTTACACTCACTCGCCCATTTGACTATAAACACAGAAATACGAATCTTAATTTTAGAATAATGAATCCTAACTAGTCATAAGTTTGCCTGGGATACTCCAATATAGAAACTATGCATTGTGCCAAAACAAAAGCATTCACATTGCTAAACTCACAAAGTATGATTTAGTACTAACACTTAGCCATAATACCAACTTACCCCATAATTTGTAATAATTTAGAGTTAAGAATTAATCTAAGTCTGACCGAAATGCCTAGCCATGCTAGGTGTCCTAGTGGCCCCCTCTGTAATTAGTATTTTATAAACCATACCCCGGCTGGGTTGAACCCGCGGCCATAGAGTCTGAAAACTCCAGCCCGTCGCGTTAGCCACTAGACCAGCTAGCCACATTAAGATTCGTCCAACTAGGTATATTTCTACACCATAGGAAGGTTAGCACAGGCACCACTGTGACCAAAAATGCAAGTTTTTACAGACGAATCTCCAGCTAGCGTGGCCGTGACGAACTCTAGCTCAAGTCCCTTCACTGCCGTCAACATGACTCACGAAATCGTAATGACACGATTTGTTTGCAATCGTGTCATTACGATTTCGTGAGTCAGTAGTATTTTATAACATGTAAACAACACACTATCCAAAATCTGTAAACCCTGCATTGTAATCCTTATAGAGAATAAACTTAATTGATTGATTGATTAATCAGTGATGGTCATTATGCTGATGTCTGTTGATCACTGTGTAACCAGGAGGTCTGGTCTAGTACTGGGCTGTGGTAACCTTTTGTGTTCATCAATGTTTTTGACTAGTGTTCATCGATAACGGCATTTTAAAGCCTATCGATTGAACGGGAGTCGTTAATGTTACAATTTCCCTGTTCACTAACTAACATCAGACGACCTTTTCCTCAAAAAAGAGATTAAAGAGTTGTATACCTTTCCCCCCCCCCACACACACAAAGCACAAAATACACACAAAACAAAAATACACACAAGCAAAAAACAAAACACGCACACACACACACACAAAATTCTCATAGTCTCATACCCTATACAAATATTTTTGTATATACACGAAAAAAATGTCAAGACCTATATATAAATTATTAACCCCCCCAAAAAAAAAAGTTATATGCACAAACCTAGTAATGTATATTTAATTTTCTTTCACAATTTACTCTCTTTTTGAACTGCCATTGCCGTTAAAATTTGATGTGAGTGTAACCGAGTTAGCCAGAAAGCCATCATAACAGCGGTACAAGCCTTCGCATCTGACGTCACCAGAGTTCATTCACTTCTAACACGTTGTTGTAAACATTCTCAGCCACTTCGAGTACCGTAAAGAATACATTTTCTTCTCTGACTTTAAAATCGTCTGCTATACACTTCGGTGATGTTATCAGTAACTGTTCGTCAATTTTTTTTTCGTTTTAGGAGAGCAAGTACTAATTGTAAGATGGATCCAGGAGGGATATTCACTGAAATAGCTTGTTGCTGTTGCTGGTTGTTGCTAGTACGAGAGTTCACTGGTAAATGACCACAGCTGTGAGTGTCGCCCTGCAGCTCCACCTCCTCACTCTCTCCTGCCTCTCATTCCCCACTCCTTAACCCCCGCCATCCCCCACCCACCCCCGTTAACAAGATATGTGCGCCTTGAGGTGGAGAGTTCTTACCTGGCCCTGCCTCTTCGCTAGTAACCACTAGTAACTCCCAGTGTGGCATGCAGATAGTATGTGACATTTATTCTGCGTATGTACACACTCTCATATAACCAGCAAACCAGGTACTAAGGGTTTAAAGATTCAGGGGGCCCCATCGTTAAATCAGTACCTAGGTTCAGCCAATCATATTGTGGGTCTGACACTTGCGAAGGCGATGTGGAAGCACTCATAATTCACTCTTGCCAAATTCATCCAGGTGCTGGCTGAAAGCGGTGGTCTCTGTCTCTGGCTGTTGTCCTTGCCTCTTGATCACCGTGATACTATTATTTTCCAAACTTGTACATAATTGTAAATATCTCTAAATCATACTTGAAGGAAAATATAATTTAAAGACTTACTGCTGTGTTTAATTTCGCTCCAAGCTCCCATTACGGCCAGGTTAACAGGCCTTGATTACCTGAAACCGTAATATGGGAAGCCTGTCCAGGAGCTGGACTTAGCAGTAGCTGGAGCTTAGAGCTGATGCTGGAGCAGGAGCTAGTCTTTGTATCTTTTAGATAGCTTTCTATCTGGCATTGTGTCAAGCCTTGCTATTGTGTGTGAGGATTCTGCAGTTGTACTGAGCATAGCTGCTTAAGCGTGTATTGCAAACAGCATGTTACATTGGGTTAATGCCACCTATACAAGTCAGACGATTGGTGTCTGAATTCACTTTACTGAACCTGCCCAAACTTTCCATACAGTGTTGTTGGTGAATTTCTCATTCTATTGGTACTGACAATCAAAACACACCGCTGCGCAGCTTCGTGACATTATTTGTACAAAGTTGAAAGCTGTGACAGCCATGGCACACAGGATTGATGTTTCTCCCTCTACAGGAGCAGTTAGTCGTAGATCTCTGCTTAGATCTTGCAGAATAATTCAATTCAAAGTTTATTCTCTATAAGGATTACAATGTTGAATTTACAGAATTTGATTGTGTGGTTTACATGTAGTTAAATAATGATTACAGTGTACCACTAGAACGCCTAGCATGGCTAGGCATTTCGGGCAGATTTAGTTTAATTCTTTATTTTAAAATATTACAAATTATGAGGTAAGTTGGTATTATGGCTAAGTGACTAAATACTAGTTTGTGAGTTTAGCAATGTGAATGCTTTTGTTTTGGCACAGTACATAGTTTCAGTATTGGAGTATCATAGGATTCATTATTTTAAGATTGAGATTAATATTTCTGTTTATGGTCAAATGGGTGAGTGTAAGTGTGAACCACCAGGTGGTATTCGTGTAGTTAGTTGATGGGGTGTATCAGGGAGATAAGATGTTTTCTAATGGTAGTTTTGAAGGTGATGAATGTGTCTGCAGTTCTAGAGTTCTCAGGTAGGGTGTTCCAGATTTTAGGGCCTTTGACATACATTGAGGTTTAGTCGGACACGGGGAATGTCGTAGAGATGTTTGTGTCTGGTGTTATGCCTGTGGGTTCTGTCGCAACTATCAAGAAAGCGTTTTAGGTCAAGGTTGATATTGGAGTTCAAGGTCCTGTAGATGTAGATTGCACAGTAGTAAATGTGGATGTACTGAACAGGGAGTAAGTTTAGATCTATGAAGAGTGGGGGGGTGTGTTGCCAGGGATGGGATTTAGTGATTATTCTTACTGCAGCTTTTTGTTGGGTTATTATTGACTTTAGGTGTGTTGCTGCAGTTGATCCCCAAGCACAAATAGCATAGGTGAGGTATGGATAAATGAGTGGTATAGTGTGAGAAGGGCATTTTGCTGCACGTAGTATCATCTTGGAGAGGATCCCAACCGTTTTGGATACGTTTTTGGTTATGTGTTGGATATGGGTGCTGAAATTCAGGTTGTCAAGGTATAGGCCTAGGAATTTGCCCTCATTATGTCTGGTAATTAGAGTGTTGTCGATCTTAATGTTAATTTGTGCATCTCCTGCTCTGCTACCAAACATAATATAGTAGGTTTTGTCAGTGTTAAGTGTAAGTTTATTGGCTGTCATCCAAGTCGATATTTTGATCAGCTCCTCGTTAACAATGGCGTTGAGGGTGGCAAGATTAGGGTGAGAGATGACATAAGTCGTGTCGTCAGCAAAGAGAATGGGGTTCAGGTGTTGAGATACGTTTGGAAGATCATTGATGTATATGAGGAAGAGCAGGGGACCAAGGACACTTCCCTGTGGAACTCCAGTATCAAGTGGCCGTGTTGTTGATGCTGTGTCTTTAATGGTGACATACTGATACCTATTAGTAAGGTAAGATTTGAAATAAGCAAGCGCATGGCCTCTTATACCGTAATGGTCAAGTTTGTGGAGTAGGATGTCGTGGTCTACTGTGTCAAAAGCTTTTCTTAGGTCAATAAAAATTCCTAGTGGATATTGGGAAAGACACAACACCTGAGTACTCAAACCAGCAGTCTCATGAAACAGGTGTCTCAGGTATGTCTAAAGGTGAGTCTGCTTAATTGGTACTTGAGTAAGCAAAAATCAATCTTGAGCAGACCAGGAAACAGTGAGCAATGCTAAGGAAGAGTTTGATAGAGAGAAGGAAAGGAGGCAGTTTACACAAGTAGTAAATGACTTTAGTTTGCAAAAGGCAGTACAGCTCTTTCCTCATTTTGTTGAAGCCAAGCCTGAACAGTTTATCGATGCATTTGAAAACCAGGTGGCCTGAAGCTCACTGGGCAGCATTGGTGCATACAGCTTTGTATGCATAAAGTCTACTAGATTGGAGAATACACTGGACCTCATCTCCGTGTAGTAGTGACTATACTCTATATGACCAAAATACTCTAGCTATATACTTATCCAAACTTCCCACCACTACAGATATCAGTACGAGAACTCAACACACAACTCAGGATATAAATAACCATAATTTAAACCTAGAAGATGATTGATCACGTTGACCCTGATCTAAACCTCCATAATCTGACACCTAATCAAAACCTATTGGAAAGTAACTGCCTTTATTACACAGCATCACAAGCCAGCACTATCCTAAACAATGCTAAAAGTCTATCAGTACTTAACTACAACATCAGGTCCTTAAGCAAACACTATGATGACCTCCTGGCACTCCTTGAATCACTAAAGACACCCTTCTCCTGCATTATTCTTACTGAGACCTGGCTTAAGCAGGACACAATAGATATCTACCCTCTACCAGGATACACAGCAATTCACAACTGCAGACCAAACCAAGTTGGGGTGGTATTGCAATCTATTACTCTAACCAATTATCTTGTATTAGCACCACTTGCTTTAGTGATGAATATGGGGAATACATTTTTGCTAATTATACTGTAAAAAACCTTAAGACACCTATAACAATCGGTGCCATTTACCGGATACCTCACACAAACATCCCAAATTTCAGTGAGAAATTAAAGTCACTAATAACAGACACATGAATAAGCACCACCTTCTCTTAGCTGGAGACTTCAACATCAACCTTGGCTAACTAGATGATCAGCCTGTAACTGATTTCATCAACAATATGAACAACACACTTCTCATACCAACAATAACTAAACCAACCAGGCTCACTGAGACAAGTGCAACCATAATAGACCACATATGGACCAGTATACTAGCCCCCCTTAAATCAGGGATAATCACAGATAGCACTACAGACCACTACCCTACCTTCCTCCTGACAAACATTAGTAAACCACCACTTGAATACAACAAAGTCTCATTTAGACTCCATGACGAGGCCTCAATAAGGAAGTTCACAGCTGACCTAGAGACTGTTGACTGGCCTACAGAATTCTCCAAGGCCAATGGTATTGATGACTTGACAGACATTTTTCTTAACAAATTACTTAGACTATACAACAAACATTGTCCTATAAAAACGAAACAGATCACAAACAAACGGCTTTGGTTGCCCATGGCTAACCAGCACCATTCTGAAATCCATTGACAAGAAACACCAATATGAAAAGCAATATAACAGGGCTTAATACACAAAGATATTCTTAAACACTATTCATCAGTTCTCACCAAAGTAATAAAGAAAGCCAAACAACTATACTACTCCAGTAGATTCACAGACACTAGAGGAGACATAAAAAGACCTGGAAAACACTCTCTCAGATTCTAGGGACCCACAAACTGAAAAAAAAAACAAGAATATTGTCCTAACTAAACCTAATGAAACACCACTACATCCCACTGACACAGCTAACAAGATAAACGACTTCTTCTCAACCATAGGATCTAATCTCGCCAATAAAATCCCACATACCAATGCCCATGCTGGGGACTACCTAGATGGGAATTTCCCAAATTCCTTCTATCTTGCACCAACTGAGCCCTCAGAAGTCACCGAGATTATAAAGTCACTTAAAAATAACTCGGGGAATCTGTCTTATGTCCCACCATTACTGTACAACCGAGCGGCCCATATCCTTTCGTATGCTATTTCATTACTTTTTAACAAGTCACTAGAAACTAGCACCTTCCCGAAACTACTCAAGATGGCAAGGGTTACACCAATACATAAAGGTGGTGACCCTACAGACTTAAACAAATATAGGCCAATATCAAACTTACCATTGCTATCCAAAATCTTTGAGAAACTCGTGCACAGGAGACTATATTCATTTATAACAGCACAAAACATACTCAATCCCTGCCAATTTGGATTCAGGAAAAATAAAAGCACTAATGATGCAATCATAAAAATGCTAGATCTGCTTTACACAGCATTGGAAAATAAGGAATATCCACTAGGAATTTTTATTGACCTAAGAAAAGCTTTTGACACAGTAGACCACGACATCCTACTCCACAAACTTGACCATTACGGTATAAGAGGCCATGCGCTTTCTTATTTCAAATCTTACCTTACTAATAGGTATCAGTATGTCACCATTAAAGACACAGCATCAACAACACGGCCACTTGATACT